CCATCATTTACTATGGTAAGATTTTTTGTTCTGATGATGCCTTATACCTGATCCCTTCGACACCTCGTGATCGCACAGGCTGGTGTGCTTCTTCCATGTGGACTTTGTTGCTTCTGAGAACGCTAGGACTTTCACACCGAGATGAAAAGCCCAGGCTTGTGAGCATGTTGACAGTGTCCCTACGGCCTGGCCAGATGCCGTTCCCTAACCTCCAAGAAGGAAGAGAGCAAGAGGGACAGGTTGTTTATTGACAGCCTGTGACAGTCTGCCCCTAAAGAACAGCGAGTCCATGCCGCAGCCCTCCAGCTGAGTTCAGATGAGCAAATAACACCCAGCCCTGCTCTCCACAGCAGGGCACTTCCTCCGGAGGGAGAACACCTGCCAGCTTGGTTTGTGGGATTATTGGAAGTGCTCTTCCCTGCCTCCCTATCCCTGCCATCCGTTTACTCTGCGCGGGACCTATCCCCTATCCCGGGCAGGAGGGCAGAGCCAAGCTATTTACTTGCACATAGGCCTTTGACCGGGAACTAGAGATATGTTCACATGTACATGACAGTTATGCTGCCTGTTTGGCCCTAGGTGAAGCAAATCATGGAGGAGGCTGTCACCAGGAAGTTTGTGCATGAAGACAGCAGTCACATCATCGCTCTGTGTGGTGAGTGAGTACCTGGGGGTTAGGGTGGTGGGAGGTGTGCCTCCTGGGCTTAGAACGGAGGGCAGGACACCTTCCTGGATCCAGGGAGAGGTGAGTCCTCAAGTTTCGTAGTTCTCAAAAACGGCTGCCAGCCACGATCAACTCGGAGCTTCTGGTCTCTCCCAGAGCCCCTCTCGGATCTGCTGAATTAAGATCCGAGAGACAGAGAGAGTGTGTGTGAACAGGTATATATAACTAGACTTTTCTTAAACCCCAAAGCCAAACTCACTGCCATCGCGTCGAGGCGTCCATGTTGACCCACGGTGACCCTATAGGCTACGGTAGAACGGCCCTGTGGGTTTCCGAGACTGTAACTCTTTACGGGAGTCGACAGCCACGTCTTTCTGTGCCACAGAGCAGCTGGTGGTGTCCACCCTGAGTCAACGTGGACGGGGCGGCCGGTGGGCTGAGGACCTCGTATTGTAGTTCGCAGCCCCATGTGGCCGAAGCACTATGTCACCTGGGTTTTTCTAGTGGCCGTCAATGCTGTATAATCCAACATCTGCCGGTCCAGTTTTGTTAGGTACACGATTTGGTGTTGACAGTGACGCTGATGGAAGCTCGATCAGGAATTTGTATGTTTCCAACTTCTAGGATAACTGTTCTCAAATGTCAGTGCCACCCAGAATCACCTTAACCCAAACTCACAAGTCAGTTCTGGCTCCCAGCAGCCCTGGAAGGACCGAGGAGAGCTGCTCCAGGAGTGCATCTCATGGAAGCAGACTGCCTCCTTATTCCCCAAGGAGCAGCCAAAGGGATTGAACCACTGCCCCTCTGGTTAACTCGGTGGTGCTTAACCTGCTGCACCACTTGGGCTCCTTTGAATCACCTTCCAAATCCACTGCTGTCAAGTCGAGGTCGACTCTTAGGGCGGAGTAGGTCTGTCCCATGAGTTTCTGAGACTATCAACTGTTTACGGGAGTAGAAGGCCGGTCTGTCCCTTGCAGGGTGGCTGCTGGTTTTGAACTATGGACCTTTCCGACTGCAGAACCACCTTAAGCGCTTGTTAAAACTGAGTCTGGGGCTCTCGCCCCAGACTTTCTGATTCCACTTGGTCTGGAGTCAGGCCTAGGAATTTGGATTTCTGACAAGCGAGTGATTCTGATGCTGCTGGTTTGGGGTACCCATCTGAGGGCCACTGCCTCGGATTTGAGAGCCAGTGCTTTGCTTCCTCCTCACGTGTTAACTTTGGGCCGAGGCTTGTGCCTTTGGGACGTTTCCTAGGTCACATCTCAACTTCCAATTAACCCCACCCTGTGGCCCTTCCCCACTCTCCAGGCATCGATTGGATGCAGTGAACCAGCATGTAGGCTAGCCAGGCGGAGATGGCCCACAGCACACGGTTGCTTCCTCCTCAGTGGGTCGACTTCTCTGTCGTAGAAACGAAACGTGCCTGTCTACCCACACGGGGTTTTCTTGGTTTTCTGGGTAATGCAACTTCCTCCCCATTCTCTTTCTGAGGGGATATGGAGCCGTTTGCCACCTGTTTGCTGTTTTCCTTCGCCTCTGGGACCGGTGTTGGGTGTCAGAGGAGGGCGGCTGTGCATTTCTGGGGGGAAGGACAGTAAGGCACAGAGAGGAACCCCAGGCTTTGACGGCAGGGTGGTGAGGCAGGTGGCTGCTCTTCCAGTCAGTTCATCAACAAGTACTCAGCAAGTCTGGGAGGAAGCTCGGACCTCACTGGCTAAGCCTCTGCCCTGGAGGCGTCCATTCTGTTGGAGGGGACAGATGGAAACCAAATGCATAGCTGAATATGAAGGGGCTTCATGATGTTCATGGGGAAATTCCATTCTTTTAATTACATTTTACCACAGGCTTTTGGAAGCCCGTTCGAATACAGCAGATGCTAACAGGTAGTGTGCTGTGCATCGGAATCATTGTCAAGGGCTTGTTAAAATACAGGTTCCTGGGCCCTCAACCCAGACCTTCTGATGCCAGTCAGTAAGCAGAGGTGGTGAGGGTGACAGGTGGAGAGGAGGTGGTGGGGCCGTGTGAGCAGGCCCTGAGTGCCAGACTTGATGTGGACCCTGGTGGTCCTCATGGTGTCATGGGGACAAGGTCCCTAACGTCTCTCACCTTAGCATTGTAAGCACTCACAACGAATTGTACTTGCATCTTCTTTGGGTATGGGGGGCATGGGGTAAGTTTGCAGAATGTTGTCACCATCAACCAGCCCCTTGAGGTAAGTCCCCCCAGTTCTTTGTGATTACATCATGATTCCCAGGATGGCAAGGGGTAAGTATGACCACACCTGGTCTTGGGCAGAGCCTGTGTGAAGGGAAGGGAAACCAAAAGAGTAGGCCCGTCTCACAATAAGGAGCCCTGGTGACACGTTGGGTTAAGTATTATTGGGGGGCTAACTGCTCCGGTAAGGATTTATAGTCTCTGGCCCATGTCTGTCATTGTCACCAAAAGGGCTCTCCTGGCTGCCTTACTGGTCCCCGGCTTGGGGCTAAGCTTCACCCAGAGCACTGGCCCCCGGCAATCTCACCAGTCGGGATGCGTGCACATGAGACAGGGAAAGTGGAACAAACAGCTCACAGCTTGTGCCTGGGCGCCACGTGCGGGTGGCTGTGGGGGAGTGAGGGAAAAGGGGCTGGGAGAAGAGAAGCTGGTAGCAGCGCCCCATATTCTGGCCATTGTGGGGGACTTCTGTCAGCTCTCTTTGGAGCAGACCGGGAACCCCCAGGAAGCAATAGGGCTCTTGCCCCGAAGCCCAGGGCTCTTTATAGCAGGCAGGACAATCACACGCCAATGTCTATTCCTGCTTGTAGCTGGTTTCAGTTGCTGAAATACAAGGACCCTCAAGTTCCCCAGGATTCTAAACTCAGCCCAGAAGCCAAAGAGCCCTGTTTACAAGGGAACCGTGGCCTCCAGTGCTGGCCTTCAGTTCATGCGCGCTGCGGACTTAATGCCGACAGGCTCAGCCACAAGGAGAGCTGGTTGGTTTGGGTCTGAGCGATAGGGGGTGGCCGGGCCGGGGTGCCCCCTGGCACGCAGTGCCCCCTGGCCAGTCCCATGGAAATGTGAGCTTGGGCTTGTCACGATCTGCTTTATTGTGAGAGAAGCCAGAAGTCTGGGTTTTCCTATGAAATTTCCCAGTTCTCATTCTGACAACTAATTCCCATTAAAAAAGAAAATTGTGTGGGCCAAACAAAAGGCGTCTGCAAGCCACTGCCAGTCTGCTGCCTGAGCCTTGAGCTCTGTGTACAGCTATTGAAATAGCTGTTAGCAGGAGAGGGTGCCAACATTCTAACACTCAGTCAAACAAGGATGCTTGGGAGCCCTTCAGACGTCTGGCAAAATCAGTGGTCAGTGCTGCCATCAATCCCTACGTGACCTTAAAATGTGGTTTGGTTTAAAGCAGTGATTGTTCACCGCATTTGCTGCCTGGCAGCATTTGCAGTGCATCACACAGGGGAGTCATCCTCCGGGATTCTTGGGGAGTGGCAGAGAATAGATTGCAATGGGATGGAAATGCACCCCAGGGACTCTTTGGAGATCCAGATACACCCACCTCTCTCAGCCCCTTGGAATGCACCTTCAGTCTTCCCCTGCATCTTGCTGCTGTCCTACCATATGCCGGACCCAGCTCTGTTCTGGGAGAAACAGGCATCTAGACAATGTGCTGAGGGATGGATCGAACAGAGTAGCAACCGGTAAGCCACCTTCCGGTTGGGAACCACTGGCCACCTCGGCTCTGCACTGGCCCCTCTGCTCTTGGCAGAGGAAGGTGGGGTCTGGGCAAGACAAGCTTCTCTGAACTTCCTTAGAATACAGACATTTGAGCCAGAAACGCAACCTTCCTGGAGAACCTTAGCGTGGGAACACAGGGACTCGAGGGCCAAGGCCACACCCTGGGTAGTCCCAGAGGCGTGGTGGCCAGACCTTGGCCAGACCTTGTTCCTGTTGCCCGTGTTGTTAGGTGCTAGCCAGTCACTTCTGAGGTAGGTCCAACAGAACAAAACCCAGCCGGGTCAGGCACCGTCCTGACAAGTGTTCTGGTGTTGGAGCGCTGTGCCAATCCATCTCGCCAGGCCTTCCTCTTTTTTACGGCCCCTCGAGTTTACCAAGCATGGATCCTGGTCCCTCCGAATACATGTCGAAACTATGTGAGGCGAAGTCCCGCCATCCTTATCTCTAAGAACATTCTGGTTGTGCTTTTCCCAAGACAGAGCTGCGTGTTCTTTTGGCAGTCGATGGTACTTTCAGTAGTCTTGGAGCCAGCACCGGAACTCACACGCTTCGATTCTTCCTCGGTCTTCCTGATTCACCGTCCCACCTTCACACACGTGTGAGCCGATTGAAAAGACCATTGCTTGGTACCCACGGGAGACGAGCCATGTGAGCTTGTTGTGCAGGTTCTGAAACCTGTCTGTCCAGAAGTGGTTGGGGCGCTGCAAATAGAAACCTTCCAAAGGAGCTTTGCTGGCACACCAGGCTGAGCAAGGAGGGGGTTTCCTCACTCACACACACCCTCCTACTGTGTGACGGGGAGGACCGGGACCAGTGTGACTGCCCTCTCCCACGGCAGAGAGTGGGGTTTAGAAAATAGCTCCAACCCTGCCAACAAGGGAGGAGATCCTTACTGACCAGGTTACAAAGAGAGCATTTTACTCCATAATGCAGCCTTCGGCATTCCCATAAGTATCTTAATGTAAAGACTAATTATTGAATCGAATTCATGCTTTGCTTTGCTGGTAGCTTCCTGAACCCCCAGGTGGAGGCCAATGTGCCCTCGGCCCTGTTTCTAACTTTAGGGTTGGGGCAGAGCACTCGAGGTCAGGGTTAAGCCCCAAATAGTTCCAAGTTTCATTTTTGAACTCCGTATTCATAACAGTCGTATCTGAGGCCCAGAGAGAGACCCTGGACAGACTTAATGGGGCCATTCCCCAACTCCTAAATGACCCCTCCTCCAGAGACATAGTGGGTGGGGCCCAGGCACCAGGCTTCCCCCAGTCCCTCCTCTGCCTTCACCTGAGGGTGGTTTCCGGCCGAGGCTGAGTGGTAATGGGAGCCGGGGGTGGAGTCTGTGGAGCCGGGAGTAACATCAGAGCTTTATTAACCAGCTCCCTGTTGCTAAGCAGCTTTCATTAGCCTGGAAGGCCTGTGCCAGAGCACAGGCAGCTTTCCCGGGGAAGGGCGAGGAGATGCAAATAAGCTCGAACTGAGGCAGGTGCCAGGGCAAAGCCTGGGCTGTTGCAACACCGGTATCACAGCACCAGCACGTTCTGCAGTTCAGACTCCCAGGGGCCGTAGCCTGTCTCCCCTCGGGAAAAGGGATTCCTTCCAAATGCTCATTCCCAGGATAACTTGTTGCCCTTCATTCCAAAATGTTCTGGGGCACGGCCTGGCGGTTGTCCGAAGCTGGCACTTTGGACTCACTGACTTGGGTTCAGAGTGGTGGTGTCGTGATTACTTGCTGGGCTGCTAACTGCGAGGTCAGCAGTTCGAAAGCAGCAGCCACTCCAAGGGTAAAGAGTTACAGTCTGGGGGGGAGGGGATTAAATTTTTAAAAAAAGAGTTACCGTTTCAGAAACCCACAAGGGCAGTTCTACCCTGTTCTATAGGGTTGCCATGAGTCGGCATCAACTCCATGGCAGTGAGTTGGAGACCTGGCTTCACATCCAGTACTCGTCAGTAGTGTGTGACCAAGATGCTCAGCATGTCCGAGCCCACCCCGAAAGTCCGATAAGGAATTAAAAGAGTAAAGCAGATGGCAGTTGCCTGGTATACAGTGAAGAGCCTTAGGGAAATTGTGGGTTAGGCTTTGGGCAGCTAACTTCAGGGTCGGCAGTTCAAACACACCAGCTGCTCCACAGAAGAAAAATGAGGTTGGTGGTTCCCGTAAAGATTGACAATCTCAGAAACCCTACCTAGGATAAGTGTGAGTTGGACTTGACTCATTGCCAGCGAGTTTAATTTGCTTTGTTATGCGGCAGATGCTCAAAAAATAGTGCTTCGCCATCACAGCCAATGACATGCTACTTTGCTCTTACAGCCTTCTCCATAAGCCTCCGAGAACTGCCTCCGGGATTCCACCTGGGAATCCATGTTTCTGGGAGTTTGGAGCATCTGAACAATAAGGGAAACTTGCACACTAACTATTTGATGGATTAAGGGATTATTAATTTTGTAGGCATGGCAAAGGCATTACGGACATGCTTTTAACGAATCTGTACCTTATAGAGATACATGCTGAACTATCTCAAGATATGAATATGTGATACCGAAAATTTGCTTCAAAATAGTTCCCAGGGAAGGAAAAGAGTGGTGGGAGGGGGTCCAGCCGAAAAACAAGTGGTCTTGATTGGATCATCGTGTTTTTTTTTGTGGGGGGGTTGATCATCGTTTTTAAGTTAGGTGATGGGTACATGGGGGTGTTAGGACACCCTCCTTTGTACATGGTTGGAATTCTCCAGAATGAAATTGTAAAGGGGAAGAAGCAACGCAGAGGAGAGGTGGAGATAACGGGGACAGGACAGACCACTCTCTTAAGAAACGTCGCCTAAAGAGGAGCAGCTACCTGGGGTGTTTCCTGAACAGAACGTCTGCCTATCTGTCCGTCTGTCTTGTCTATTTCAGTCACTAGGGTTTCAGCTCAAACGAAGGTCTTAGAAGTTCTTAAACTTTTTGAGGTCAGGTATTAGAAGTTGAAAGTTATAGGTCCTCTAGGGGAACAAAGTACTACTCCCTTATGTGAGTCACTGAAGCGGACTACAAGTTTGCACACAATAAAGCTGAGTGGCCAATTGGGCTATTAACCCCAAGGTCAGCAGTTCAAATCTACCAGCCGCTCAGCAGGAGAAAAATGAGACAATGAGGCTATCTGCTTTCATACAGAACAGCCTTGGATGCCCACAAATGCAGTTCTGGTCTGCCCTATGGGGTGGGTCGCTATGACTTAGAGTCAATACAGTGGCAGTGAGTCATTTGTTTTTTTTCTGGGGGGTCGGAAATTCCCAGAAGCCCACTTGCTTAGAATAGTGATTCTCAATATTTACCTTTTTCTTTTTGGGGGTGGCCCCACAGAGCCCCCAGTAACCATCTTGGTTGTGTGTTGTGGTTCTCAGTGGGAGTGTGTGTGTGCGTGTGCCTCCCCCCTTCCCCCCCCCCCACCCCCCGTAAGTGTTGTCTAATCTGAACAGCCTCTGGCCCGGGAACCCATGCAACTGGGTGAAGAGTACCTGGCACAGGCTCGTTTACTTGGCTTGGGAAATTGAGGAGTGAGCATCCTCACTTCTTCCGCAGATGCTGCCTGGCACCTTGCCCATATTCTCACAGAAGGAACTTGGGGGCCATGGGGTGAGCTGGTGGGGCTGGGTGTGATATTTGGGCTTCTCTCTGCATCCCCTGCTTGCAGTAATTGCCTCTTCCCCCAGAGAGCCACAGTGCCGGCACTCCGAGGCTGGCAGGGAGGGTGGGCGAGGCCATCAGGCTGGGTATGTGTGTGCCCGCCATCCCCACCTCCCAGCCTGGCTGTGCCTGGGGAAGGTGGGAAGGCTAATGACTCATTATCCCGGCAATTAGTCACAGCACCCAGGCACATGATTCCCTGCAGGCCTGCTACCACGCTGACCCTGCTCAGTGCTGCTGCTCTCAGCTCTGGAAAGGGTGTGTGTGTACAGCCCAGGGTCACACAGACCTTCAGGGTCCCGAGGGACTGACCATGCAAGGGCTGTGTGGTACTCACACCAACCTCCCCCCCTCATGTCCCCTGAAGGAGCGTCTAAAAGTGTGTGGGAAGCTCCAGGATCCCTCATCCACGCTGACGTGGATATAAAGGCACGTATGTGCATGCAGAGGGCTGAGCTCACCCTGGCAGCAGGGCTGCCCTTGTAAAGTCACATTCTCCAGGCTCAAGCCGGGGGCCTCCAGCAGGACCCTGCGCCCCCCTCCCCTCCGAGGCTCTCACTCAGCTGGCCGGCCGTCCTCCAGCTTCTTGTCGCCAGTTGAGGGGAGGGTAAACGAAACCCCCCTAGAGCTCCATGGTGGCTGTCTGTCCCTTACTGTAAATGAACGCCACAAAGGGCTGCGACGTTTGACTTTTCACGATGATTTCCTCAGTCCAGGATTCATATTCTAACAACCCCTAAAATAGTGTGATGAGCCCTCAGCTCCTTGTTCCAAGGCCTCCTCTTCCTGCCCATCCCCCCCTCGCTCCCCCTCCCCTGGCAGGGGCAGAGGAATAATACAGGTCCATGGGACAGAGCCCGCACAGAACATGGATGGTATCAGGGACCCATTTGAAGCAAATGTCTCCTTTGTGCCAGACCGGGGACTAAGGTGTCTTACAGACTTTACCTCACCCAACGTTTCACCCCAGGCCTCAGAAGTGCTATTCCCATTTCAGAGATGATAAAGCTGAGTCTCAGGACATTCAGCCCTTTCTCCTAGGGTTCAGATTCTGTTCGGACTCCAGACCCAGGCTCTTTCCAGCTCAGCGCTGTTTCGATTGACGTGAACAGCCCACTGCCATCGGGTCGATTCCAACTCATCGTGACCCTATAGGACAGGCTAGAACTGCTCCCTTTCAGATTTCCAGGCTGTAAATCTTTATGACAATAGACAGCCTCATCGTTCTCCTTGGAACAGCCGATGGGTTCAAACTGCTGACCTTGCAGGTAGCCCAATGCATAATTCACACAACCAAAAGGGCACCTGCAAAATGAGAGCAGAGCCTCCCCCCATCCCCCACCTGTGCCCCTCCCCCCAACCCACAGAGGCTGGATAAGATGGGGAAGGGGGCTCTGGTCAGTGTTTGGTGTCCTGGGGCCTAATCCTGGCTCTCACTGTAGGACTGCGACCAAGACCAAGCGTTCTCTTCCTTCAGGCTTTTCCCTCTTGTAAAACAGCGGCCTTACCTTCAGAACAGTCAGCCCTCTCCCCGCCACTCCCACCCACACTAATGTTCTTAGAGTCTATACATAGGAACCCCGGAGGCAGAGTCGTTACATATTGAGCTGCTAACTGCAAGGTCAGTAGTTCAAAACCACCAGCCTCTCCGTAGGAGAAAAACAAGTCTTTCAGCTTCCATAAAGAGTGGCAGGCTCTGGAGCTCACAGAAGCCGCCGTCCCCTGCCCTGCAGGGTTGCTGCGAGTGGACTGGACTCAACGCCCCGAGTGTGGGGTTGTTGGTTTATACATGCCCGGGGCAGCCCATGGTCCTTCCAGCTTCTCTCTCCTTCCTGGGTCGTCCTGGAAGTCAGCGAGCTCAGTCCTGGGCCCTGAAAACATGAATGAGCCAAGGGAAGCCCTCCCTGCATGGAACTTGGAGAGCTCCTCTCACTCCCGGCTGCTGGGCTCATCAATAATTCAGGGGCCGCCGTCGGGGCTGATCTCTGCAGCGGCTTCATCAATATTTCAGTTCCTTCTCCAGAGCCCGTTCCCTAGCAACCACAGCATCCACGCTCTCCAAGAGAGCTGAGGGCGGTGGGACTGCTTTCGCCCCCTGCCATCTATCAGAGGTCTGCTGGTGCTGCCCACACCCACCCTCAGGTCGGGGCCAAAATTGCTCGTACCGCCTGGAGCAGGCAGCTCTGTCCTGCAGGGCTGCGCTGCTTAGGAGCTGTATAAATGCCCAGGAGAGGGATGAAGGAGGCCAGGCCCTTCTCAGTCTATCTGCCGAGCCTGCTCGAGCTTGAGAAGCCCTCATCCAGGGCTAGTCAGGTCAGGGCCTGCTCGGCACCTCTTCCTCTCCCAGGGCCTGTGGGGGCGCTGCCGTCAGCCCTTCCAGCCCAGGCTCAGGTGGTCTTTCTCCTCTGCCGGCCTAGGCGCGGTGGAGGCATGCTTCTTGCATCAGCTGAGGCGCCGCGCTGCTGGCTTCCTGCGCAGCGACAAGATGGCAGCCTTGTTCACCAAGGTGGGGAAGACTTGCCCCGTGGCTGGGGAGATTTGCCACCAGGTCCAGGAGCTACAGCAGCAGGTGGAGGGCAGGTGAGCCCTGGGCCAGCCCCCCACCCCTCCCTTCGGCTGTTTCCACCTGGCATTTCACCTCTCTGAAGGTTGGCTTCCGGGCCACTTCTGCATAGGGCTTCTTATGTAAAGGACCAGCCATCCTCTGTGTGTGTGTGTGTGTGTGTGTGTGTGTAGGGTTGGCCGCCTGTGGGGGCCTCATGTCTTTGTTCCCTACTTCTAAGACCCCAGCCTGCTCAGTCCTCTGGGCTGTCATTTGGTGGCACCTCGTCCCGCTTCCACCAGGAACCCTGGTGGCGTAGTGGTTACAGGTTGGGCCGCTAACCTTAAGGTCAGCAGTTTGAAACCATCAGCCGCTCCACACGAGAAAGATGAGGCTTTCTCCTCCCATAAAGTTCCAGTCTCAGAAACCCGCAGGGGCAGTTCTACCCTGTCCTGTCGGGTTGCTATGGGTCGGAGCCGACTATGGCAGTGAGTTTGGTTTGGCTTGTTGTTTGTTTGTGTTAAGCCCCATTCCCAGTGTCCCTAGTCCCCACAGCCTGACCCCAGGCCTCCCCATGAAGCCTTCCCTCTCTCAGCAGGAAACTGGCTGGGGCCGGCCAGGAGACCCTGCGGAGACAGTGCTCCACTGGGGGGAAGGCCCCAGTCCTCAGCCCGCAGGCCTGGAAGCACATCTGGGTCCGAACAGCACTCCTCACGAAGGTGCTAGACAGGATTGTGCAGTACCTGGTGGAAAATTGCAGGTGACTTCCCCCGCACCCACATACCTGGCAGCCCCTCCTCCCTCACCAGCCCCCCCTCAGCCCTGCAGCCCCCTCCTCTGCTGCTGGACAGCCACGCGTGCTGGCCAGGAGGCATCGTCTGCCCTCTGAGCCCCTGGAAGCACCGTGAACTTTCAGCCCTCGTCCGAGCGGTCCATGTGCACTCGTGTCTCTTGGTGGCTGGTGTCCACTTGATCTCCGTGGGGATGTCCCTTCTTGGGGCCCCTGACTGCCCTAAGGTGAATCTGACAACCGCAGCAGTCCCCCCCTCTCCCCTCCTGGCAGCAAGTACTATGAGAAGGAGGCATTGCTGGCAGACCCCGTGTTTGGGCCCATCCTGGCCTCTCTCCTAGGTGAGCCCGAGGGTACAGGGGTCTGGGCTTGGCTGGAGCTGGGGGGTGGGGGTGGGGGTGATGTGTGTGGGGGGGTGTCAGGAGCTGGCTGCCCCTGTCTCCGCAGTGGGACCGTGTGCCTTGGAGTACACCAAGCTCAAGACTGCCGATCACTACTGGACCGACCCCTCCGCAGAGGAGCTAGTCCAGAGGCACCGGATCCGAGGGCCCCCCAGTCGCCAGGACTCCCCTGCAAAGCGTCCAGCCCTCGGAGTAAGTAGGCACCCTTCTCCCCACCCCGTGTGTGCACCTCAGGCCGCGTCCCCAGGTCTGCCGGGAGGAATTCCTCAAAGCGCCCCCGCTCCCACGTGGGTCCTGGAGATGCCCCCAAGATCATGACCAGCCCAGGGGCTTCTCCCACATTGGCACAGGCCAGGAGAACAAGCTAGGGGCAGGAAGGACCCAAGGGCCCGACAGAGAAAGCGGCCACGGACACCCTGAGGCTCTCCACCCACAAGGCCGGGCCTGAGCCTGCCTTGCCCTGCAGATCCGAAAACGCCACTCGAGCGGCAGTGCCTCTGAGGACAGGCTGGCCGCCTGCGCCCGCGAGTACGTGGAGTCCCTGCACCAGAACTCCAGGACCCGGCTGCTCTACGGCAAGAACAACGTGCTGGTGCAGCCGGTAGGACACCCCACTAGCCCAGCTTCCTGGGTCCCAAACCGGGGGCCCGCCTGTCACGGCTATTCTCTTCCTTAGGGGGCTTGAGCCAGAGAGTAAGGGACACCGGTCCCCCTTCCCCCCACTGTTTTCTTAGACTCATGCCCAGTCCTGCGCAGGTGGGAATCAGGCGTGGCCTCCGCTCCAGCTAACCAAGAACCAGGACATTGGGGTTGTGGGGGTTGGGAGTGGAGCCAACTGGGTGGACACCTGGCCTGCAGAAGAACAACAGGACAGAGCCAAGGGCCCAAGGCCAACAAGTGGAGGCAGATGCCCATGAGAAAGATTGTTCCCCGATTCTTGCCCGTCTCCGCCCAGGGCCCCCTAATTGGCCTACCCTGGGTGCCCTGCTCCCACCTGAGGAATCACAGGCCACCGCTCCACAGCCCTCCGCCCTCACCGTCTCCTCCCCGCTGTGTCTCGCTGCAGAAGGAGGACATGGAGGCTGTCCCTGGCTACCTCTCCCTCCACCAGTCTGCAGAGAGCCTCACTCTGAAATGGACCCCCAACCAGCTCATGAATGGGGCGCTGGACGACTCCGAGCTGGAAAAGAGGTGGGGTGGGGGGGCTACAGGGGTCCTTCCAGGGAGCCAGGGAGGGGCCCAGTACTGCCCCTCGAGGCAAAGACTGCCAGACAGGCGGGGAGAGGCCACCTGGAGAGATGCCCACACTCTCTAAGGCTGAGCGAGGCCAGGGCACAAAGGCGTTTGCCCGAGCCAAGCTCTCGACAGCCAGCTTTGTCAGGCTGGGTGCCCCGAGGGACAGGGCTGGCTTAGGGTCACATCTTGGCTGTGGTCATCTTGTCCTCGGGGGCTGGTGGGGTGAGGCGAGGTCTCGGGACACAGTGACACCTCCCTGGTTCCTTTCCAGTGTTTACTGGGACTATGCCCTGGTGGTGCCCTTCAATCAGATCGTTTGCATCCACTGCCACCAGCAGAGTAAGCCCCCCTCGTCCTGCGAGCGCCCTGCTGTCACCCCTGACCGGGCTCGGCCTGGCCTGGTCTCACTGCTGTCCTTGCCCCCAGAAAGCGGCGGCACGCTGGTGCTGGTGGGTCAGGATGGCATCCAGAGGCCACCGCTGCACTTCCCCCAGGGGGGCCACCTCCTGTCCTTCCTGTCCTGTCTGGAAAATGGGCTCCTGCCGAGGGGACAGCTAGAGCCCCCGCTCTGGACCCAGCATGGAAAGGTACTGCCAGGCTTGGGAGCCTCGGTGAAGGGAGGCGTTGGGGGTGGGCAGTGGGGGACAGGGGTTCCTCCAGTCACCTTCTCCTGTCCCCACACTGTCCTCCTGGGAGACACTTGAGGAGGGACCCTAGGGCCCAGATTCTGCCCTTTCCAGGCTGACTGCCCCACCCTCCCTCCTCGGTCCTTCCACAGGGGAAGGTGTTCCCCAAGCTGCGGAAGCGAAGCAGCGTTCGGTCGGCGGATGTGGAGGAGATGGGCCTGGGGCGGGCCTCAGACTGCGTGTTCCGGATTATCTATCCCGGCCACAGGAACGAGCGCAGTGAGTGTTCCCCACCCTCCCGGCCGGCCAGCCAGGAGGAGAGAGAGACACTAAGGGAGGTGGGAGGGCACTGCTCCCAGGAGGGGCAGAAGCAGGCAGATGGAACACAGACCTATGGGCCAGCCGGCCAGGTTAAGGCAGGTGCCTTAACCTCCACAATGGATCTTCCCCTAGAAGTCACCCCTGTCCTGTCTAGCTGTTCCCACCACCCTCACCCCTCTTTCCCCTGAGACCCTTAGCTCAGCAGACCCAGGCATTGCTGTGCAATCCTCTCTCAGGTCCCCTCAGTTAAGAGTGTGGAGAGCCCAGGAACTGAGGAAAGAGAACTGTCCATCCCTCCTGACCTGCCACCTGCTCCCCACGGCCTTCCCTGAGCAGACGCGGTGCTGCCTTTGGGTGCAAACTGTTCAGTAGCCCCAGGCCTCCAGGACCCAGCTGCTGGCCAGAGGTGACTCAGCTGGAGTCGGGGGACAGTCTAAAGACAGTGGGGGGCGGAGGGAGGCACTTGGAACAGGCCAGGGGCCTCTGGTTGCTGAGAAGCCTGAAGTCAGTTCAGACCTCAGGGAACCTGTTTCCAGGTCTTGGCTCATTTGCCTGCCTGCGCCCTGGACACACTCCCGGGGCCAGAGGCGGTGTAGCTTCCGGTCTCTCCTGACATGGACACTTCCTCCTGCGCTGAGTGCCGCCGCCCCTGCTGCTGCTACTCCTGGGCCAGGGTTGCTCTCCTTGCATTTAAAGTCAGGGACTCTGCCAACCCAGAGCATTTCTCCACCTAGCTGCCTTGCCCTTTAACCCTTAACTTGCTCTGCCTCAGAGGAAATGCCCTATAACCCACACGCTGCCTTATTAGGTGAGAGATGACCCAGGCCATATATCTAGCCACAGCAGGGGCAGTCCCAACAGACTTGGAGGGCACACAAGGTAGGGACACCCCCCCCCCCCCACACACACACACAGACACCGAGATGTGCCTGGTGTGACTTTAGCCAAAATGCATTTGCGGACCTGGCACTTCTTTCCACTTGAGCGGTTCCTCAGATTCGATCAGTCCATCTGCATGTCCCTCTGCAAGCCTGGGCATGTCCCAGTTCTGTTCACGTCACTCGCCAAGGACCCCTGCCCTCGAGGGGCAGCCAGGGCCCAGAGAGGAAACCAGATCAGGAACCACTCAGAGGGGGAGAAGGTCCACTTAGAACCTGAGCAGGGACTTAGGGTGATCCTGAGATGTGGTCCCACCCGGCGTGAACGAGGGGGAGAATGAACAGGATTATCGGCCCCTGGGGAGCTAGGCTTGGCCCGGGCTGATGAGTCCTGAGCTGCTGGCCCTGCCCTCGCTGCCCCCTCAGTCCTCTCCTCTCTCCTTCTTCAGGAGGAACTTGTGCAAGAGTGGAACTCTGTAGCTGCCTCCATCTTTCCCCTTTCTCCCATATATCCCCCTCCCCCCCCCAGTAAGCTGTCCGCAGGTTCCAGGTGACCCTAACCTCCATCCCCCTCACCTGGAGGAGGGCGTCTGGTCCTCACGCCCTCGCCTCTCTCGCTGTTCTCTTTGAGCAGTCACTATTAACTACCACCACCTAGCGGCCAGCCGCGCGGCCTCGGTGGACGATGATGAGGAAGAGGAGGATAAGCTACACGCGATGCTCTCAATGATCTGCTCGCGGAACCTCACAGCTCCCAATCCGATGAAAGGTTCTTATCCTCGCCTTCTCCTGCCCCCTCACCCCCACCCCACCCCACCCCTCCGGGCCCACCTGCCACACACCCACCGCAGGGGCTCAAACGGCAGTGTTGGCATTACGGGACTCGGGCCCAAGGGACCCCCCTTGGAACTGTGGTCCCTTGCATCTGGGGGCAGGTCAGGTGAGCGCTGGCGAGAAGAAGGCAGGTGGCTCTAGATACCTAACTGGATCAGCAAGGAGAGGGTGTCACACCCAGGAGGGAAGAGGACCCTCCCCCCACCTGCCATGGACTGGCCAGCAGTTTCCAGGGAGCCCCGTCTCCCTGCCCCCCGCCGGGACTGTATTGGCAGCCAGCCCAGGGCTGTGATTCTTTCTGTTCTTTCATGCCTACTGGAAGGGCAGTCTCCTCGGGCCCTGCACCCAGCCTTCGAATTAGCGGGAGGACCCAGGGACGGACAGGCCAGGAGGACCATCCTGTGGGTCGTCTGGGGACCGGAGGCCACCAAGAGAGACCCTGGGACTCAGTTTCCCCAGCAGGAAGGCAGCCTGGTAGTTTAGAAGGAAGTCTAGAAGCAGCTGCAATGTTCAGGTGGGCGGGCCCAGGGCATGGCAGCCTGAGTTCTCAGCCCCGAGATGCCTCTGCTCAGCTCTGACTTGGGGCAGGCAGGTTGTACATACCCCAGAGTCCTGTGTCCTCCTGTGTGCGGAGGCTGGGCAGGCTCGGGCTGGAGGCAGTGGGTAGGCCTTCCCTGCAAACAGCAGAGCGCCCACGGGTCAGGTCAGGTCAGGTCAGGGGAGGAGAGTGACCAGCCCCACGGGTTAACTGCAGCATGCACAGTCGAGGGGAACTTCCCTAGTCCGGGGGTCTGCTTCCCTCTGCCCACACATCCTCATGTCATTGATGAATTGCTGCCTTCTCTTGCATGCCCCTGCAGAGGGTGTCTCTAAACAACAAACGCTCCCTTCAGGCTTCTGCAAAATTCTGCCAAGAAGCCTGATTCCTCAGCCCTGCCCATCCCTGGCACGAAGGCACAGCCAGTCCTCCACACAGGCAGCAGTGGCCCCTTCTCACCCCCACTGCCTGGTACCTGTGCGTCCTCCGGTTCCTCCAGTAGGGGGAGCTTCCCCCCCCCACCCCAGGGTTTATATCATACACTACAGCCTCCCAAACCTTGGTAGAAGGGCTGAACTTATTGTTGAGTCCCGAGGGACTGCTGAGCTCTGAGGGGGCCCATGAGCCCCTCCTCAGTCCTCGGACCGCCTGGGAGAGTCTGATGGTCAGGCTGGGGGTCCCCGTGGAGCCCTGTCTTGACCAACTTGGCAATAGGAAACTCATGCCTGACCTACCTTGGGACGGAGGTCACCAGGGTCAGGAAGCCCTCCAGTCTCACAGGGACCAGAGACCTCGGGGTGTCCGCCATCCCCTGGGGGAATGCCGCAGGCCAGACCACCCCGTTTGCAGCCCTGACTTGGGAAAGGGGAAGAACCAAGAGCAGAACCCTGAATTGGGTGGGGGGCGGGAGGGAAGCTCCCCACTGCCCCTCAGTCCTTAATGACAACACTGTTGAGTCCGTTCTGCTAGCCATGGCTCTTCCAGCCTGCAACATGCTTGACTTGTGCATGTGACTCGAGTGGCAGGTGTCCAGGCCCCCCCCTCCCACCTCTCCTGCTGCCTCTCCCCAAAACACTACCCCCCACCCCCCACCCACCGAGCAGAGACGCTGTTCACGCCAGTTCTGCTCCAGGTCAGGCGCCTTTCACTCGGAGTCTCGGGCTGTGTGGTTCAACGGTCCTGAGTGTTTGCTTTACACTGTCCTCCTGCTCAGATGAGAGGCCAGAGTCCCAGCTGACCCAGCACCCTGCCCTCCCCGCCCACTGCCCCTCCCGACCGCAGTACCCAAGATGCTCCTTCCTGGAGAATTAAGGAAAAGAGTATCGCCCCCAGGAGACTCCCTTCATGGGGCCCTGCTTTCTGGGCATGCGCTGCCCCCTCGCCCCCCACCTCCCAACCTTCCCTACCTGCCTGCCTGCTGCCTGCTGCTTGCCTGACTGGGCCTGCCCCCACCCTGGCCCCCCACCACTGGCCTTCTTTCCTGCTTGCTGCAGGGCCTCAGCACTGTCCCCCACCCCATTTCCACCCCCACCTCCACCCCCAATCTAGAACATAGCTTGCAGCCCTCCTGGAAATGCAACCCCTGTTCATCAGGTGTGTTCCCTGTCTTGCCTCCCGGTGGGGCTGAAGGGTCAGGCAACTACCAAAATCCCTGCTACTGGTCTAGGAAGAGGGTCCTAGCTCAAGGCAGAGTAGCCTGGGAGAGGTCCAGCTCCCTGCCTCCCCAGGCCCACCCAGGGCTGGAGGATTTCCACACCACCCTCCGAGGACAGAGAGCCCCTGTGAAGGAAGTCTCTCACACCCCTCCCTCCTGGTTCTAGTCTCTGTGGCCTCCCCTCTTCCTGCGTCATCTGGGCCTCTCACTGGCTGCTTCATCTCGGGGAAACCCCTCTGCCAGCAATGCCCTGCGCCCCCTCCCCGCCCCACCCTGGAGCCCCCCCAGGTCTTGGGATCCAAGTGAGGCCTGCTGGGCTGACTGAAGGCCGCATCTGCTGGGAGTGTCGCTGTGTCTTTGCTGAGGCTGCGCCTGGGCATCTTCTTCTGGGACTGGCACTCAGCTGGTTGGTCCTGGTGCCAGCCGCCCCCTCGCTCATGCCGGGCAGTCTGGGGGCAGTGACCTGCTTTCCAGCTTGCTTGTGTGGCCCCCAGCCCCCTGCTGAGTGCATTAAGCCAGGCGAGGATGCAGAGGAGCTCAGGAGGGAGGGGATGTGGGGGCCTGGTTTTCGCCTCTGGCCACCAGATCTGGGACCCTGCAGCCAGAAGAGGTGGCTCTGGGGTGCCTGTGGGGCTTTAGTTGGTGAGGGCTCCCTGGTGAAGGGGGTGGGGTTCGGAGTGTGCAGTGTTCCCAGGCCCTTCCTGCCCATCTGGGAGTTTGCCAAAGAGGATCTAGCTGAACCCTTGAAGGCCTAGCAGCTGGCAGCGCTCTAGGACGCTCAGGCCTTGGTGGCTCCTCTTGGTCTCCTCCCTCAAGAGAAACCAGGTGTGCCCCATTGCCAGCAGAGAGAGACTAATGCCATCTTTCCCGACACCCGAGTGTTTTCTCAAGACCAGAAGGACACCTGCCCATCCTCCGAGGCTTGGTGGCAGCTAGGAGGTGGCAGGCACCCTCTCTTCCCCCATTTGCATCTCTGGGCTCTAGTCCCAGGGAGACACCGCCTGGTGGTTTTCCACATTCTAGTTCTGGGCACCAAGGTGGGCATCCTGCGGGGCACAAGGGGGAGGAGGCCTGCTAAGCCTCTGACCTCGGCTCCCTTCCTGCCCCCAGATGCCGGAGATATGATCGAGATGCAGGGCTTCGGGCCCAGCCTGCCCGCCTGGCACCTGGAGCCCTTGTGCAGCCAGGGCTCCGCCTGCCCCTCCTGCTCGTCCCACAGCTCCCCGTATGCCACCCCCAACCACTGCAGCTGCGGCCCCGACCGGTGAGTGGGCAGGGCCTGGGACACCAGCTTCTTGCCTGGCATGTGTGTGTGTGTGTGTGTGTATGTGTGTGCACGAGCGTACGCAGCTGTCCTGAAGGCCTGTGTCACTTACTTGACAAGGTGGCTTCTGGTGCTGGACACCGTTAGGTTCCTGTTTCACTTCCACCAGTCACTGCCCTGGGAGCCCTGGTGGGGCTGTGAGATACATCTGTGGGCTGTTCACCCCACGTCAGCAGTTCAAACCTACCCTCCGCTCCTCCGGAGAAAGATGAAGCAGTCAGCTACCATCAAGAATGAGTCTCAGGAACCGGAAGGAGAGAGACATAGAGACTCGGTCACTCTGTTCTGTAGGGCCACTGTGAGCCAGCGTCGAGTACAGGTGTCTCGTTCTGTTTTTAAATCAGCACCTGGACAATGCTGGCAAGTTACTGAGTCAGTCTATGAGTCTCTTTGTTTTTAAGCCTCAGTCTCCTCACCAGTGAAATGGGGATCATACTGTCCCTCCCATCCTAAAGTGCATGCGAGCACTTGGGGGAAGGTGTCAGCACGGGCGAGCTCCGATCCCAGGTGGACGCCACGTGCCAGAGTCGGCCGGGGATGGCGTTGGTGCCTTGCTGGCTGCTCTCTGCCACCCATGACTTCTTTTTCAGCCTGTTCCCCTAAGGGTCTTTGGGAGCTTCTCCCGAGGTTCACATGAGGAAACCAAGATCCAGTCAGTCCAGTCCCTGGTGCAGGGCCGCCTGGGAGGGTGGAGGTCCAGAGTCCGGGGCCAGGGCCCTGCGTTTCCAGCCACCTGGCTCTACGCCCCCCGGGGCCTCGACACCATGGATGTGGCCCGACCTCAGGGGTAGGGTGGACAGGGAGCCCACTGGGCAGGCTGACCCAGTGGAGAGAGAGCCCCAGAACACAGGACACCACTCTCTAAGGCTCTCCCCAGCATTCCAGCTGCAGTGCTGGCCCCGCCTCCCCATCCCAGTCCCCCCCTCCACCTGAGCTTGTGAACCCCAGAGGCCCAGGCTAGGAGAGGGGGGTCCTTACCTTGCCTCCTGCTAGGTCAGCTGTGCACACACAACAGCGTGTTGATAGGTGCTTGCCTGGGGGTGGGAGGCAGGCAAGGCTGGGGCTCCCTCAGCACCTTAGGGCCCTAAGCTGGGGGGCCTCCAGCCAGCGGGCTGAGTCTGCCTGCCCTCAGCCAGCTCGCTCCCCAGGTTGCCCCTCAGGCTGCTGTGTGAGAGCATGAAGAGACAGATCATGTCCCGCGCCTTCTACGGCTGTGAGTGTCGGGGCGGGGGCGGCGAGGGGC